CCACCAACTCTTTCCCTAATTGTCAAGTCAGCCAGTGACCCCGCCAGCTCCTCCTGCAGCTGGACTGTCTTGATCCTCTCGGATGTTCCTCTTCATGGCTTCCTCCTTATTTCTTGTACCCAGCATCACCAGTTGGATCTACTCCCTAAGTATTGCCCAGGACCCACAACGTCGTTCCATTCTACTTCAGACTGCTATTACTTTAATGGGGGTAGCTGCATCAGCCTTTTCACTAGATCTACTTCCACTCTGGACCCTTCCCAGCAGCCAGGATTCTTAAAGGTGTACATCAGACATTACTCCTTTACAGGAGGGCGGTTCTGTGATTATCTCTGACCCTCAAAATACTGGATTAGGGGCTGGGTTGTAGCTCAGTGGTAGTGTGCTTGCCTAGCATGTGTGAGGCACTGGGTTCAATCCTCAGCACCACATAAATATAAATAAAGGTATTGTGTCCATCTACCATTAAAAGTATATATATTTAAAAAATACTGCCGGTGTATTCCAGGGGCTCGGGAGACTGAGGCAGGAGGATCACAAGTTCAAAGCCAGCCTCAGCAAAAGTGAGGGGCTAAAAGCAACTCAGTAAGACCCTGTCTCTAAATAATATACAAAATAGGGCTGGGGATGTGGCTCAGTGGCCCACAGCCCAAGTTCAATCCTCGGTAACCACCCCCGCCGCCCCCCCGCAAGAAAATACTGGGTCAGACGTGGCTTCCCAGAGTTTTGCAGGTTCTACTTCTTGCCTTTCTCCTACCTCAGGATTTAGACGTGGGGGAGGGGGGGCGGAGCGCTGTGAGGGTACTGGGGATTGAACCCAGGCCTAGCACATGAAAGTTCTACCACTGAGCTGCATTCCCCGTCCCTTTCTATTTTAGAGACAGGATCTTGCTAAATTGTCCAGGCTGGCCTCAAACTCGCAATCCTCCTGCCTTGGCCTCTTGAGTAGCTGGGAGTAGAGGCATATGTCATCATGCCTGGAAGTCTTTGGCTTGTATTTTTGGCTCTCTTTGGTCTCCCATGATCCAGTCCCATGGGCTTGCCTTGGGTTCCTCATACATGCTTCAGGGTTTTGCATTGGTTTCTTCTATTGGAATACTTTTCCTAGTTCAAGGCTCAGTTTAAATCACTTCACCTAGGTCTGTTTTGCTTATCTAATCCAGAGCAATCCCTGCTTCCCTCGGAACTCAAACTGTTCATCACCTCTGTTTCTTGCTGCTTCAGTTTACAACAGCATGTTCACTTGGCCATTGCTGGCCATGCCCATCAGATGGCGCTCCAGAGCGCCCGGACCTTGACTGGCTCATTTAAGGCTAGGTTGTCCACAGCGGAGGCAGCACTCAGTAAAAGGTTGAGGCAGCTGGGGTGCCTATAATACCTGTAATCCTAGCTACTCCACAGGCTGAGGAAGGATGGTTAAAAGTTCAAGGCCAGCTTGGGCAACTTAGAGAGATTCTGACTGAAAATAAAAGGCTGGGGATGTGATAAGAGTGCCCTTGAGTTCAATCCCCATACCGCAAAAATAAATAAATGAATAAAGGCAGGTTGAAGTCATTGATTTTATTTACAGAACTAAGAGTCAACCTACAGAGGATATGAACTAGCCTACTTGTCTAGTTCCCATGTGGGTTTAGCAGGAGGGAGTAGCCACAGCAATATAATTATTCAGGAAAGCTTCACTTCCAGCAGATGATGATGTTGGGGTCATTCTCCAGACGCTCATCCAGCTCATGGTAACTCATGCCTGGGTGGGGTGGGGGAGGTGAGGTCAGTGATCTTGGCCTACCCACAGTGCCCTGACCTCACCCTGTCTGCCCCACTGCATGCCTCCACCTGTCTTGCAGCAGATCTCATCATAGCTGTGACAGCCTGTGTAAAGCCGGGCAGGGTGGCTTCGCTCCTCTCGAGACACCCGCACAGGATATTTCTGTAGTCGTCGGATGAGATTCTTCATTAGCCCAAACTGGATCAGTTTCCTGGGGTGAGGATTGGGGAAGAAGTATGATGCTCTGGTCAGTCCTCCTTATAGCCAGACCAACTCTTTCCTGCAGCCTTCTGTTCAATTCTATCTCAGAGCCAGACTGCCCTGCAAGCTCATCATCCCCAGGAATCCTCCCTGGTTTAGCAGTGCCACGATTCTTCTCACTGGGAATACCCTGCTTCTTCTGACCCAGGGTTCCTCCAGAGAGACAAAGAGGGTCCACCTTCCCTCAGGCAACCCCCTCATTTCCCAAGGAATGGCCCTCTGACCGTTCATCAACATGCTGTAGCTGTTGGGAGTGGCGGCCGATGAGGTCTCGTACAGTAGTACCAGGGCTCAGGCTGCAGTACAGTTGGAACACATCCCGGAGACTGGCTCTTTTGTGCCCTGTGGGTGCCAGGATCAGCTCACCAAGTGACCCTCCCCTTCCCAAGATATCTCCCCAGAGCCCACTACTACCTTGCTTGGTCACGTAGGATAGACATGCCTCCTGTAGGGACTTGTCATCTACAAGATCCTGGACCTTGGGTGTTGGACAGTACACGTTGGAGTACTAGAGAATAGCAGAAGGCACAGGGACCTGAGTGAGGGGCTGGGAGGCTGGGCCAGACATTGCTGAACCATATTCCAAATTTACCTACCTGGAGAATGGACACCAGTGTCACAACACCATAGTACCTAAGAGAGAGAGCTGAGCTCAGCTTCTGAAGACTAGACCTTTCCAGCTCCATACTCAGGGACCTAGATTCTTCCCTGGCTGGTGACCTTATGCTAGGCATGACTATTGCCCTACTCACAGTAGGTTCTGTATGGCAATGCGCACTAGGTTGAGCTCCACATCTGCCTCAGCAGAGATCTTCTGGACATGGCGGAAACCATCGATGTATGGCAGGATCTGGCAGAGCAGGGCAAGGTCAGTGGGGTTAGGATGAGGCCAGTGCTGTGGCCAAGACAAGGTGATGCTACTCAGGGACAACTGGCACACCTGTTGGGTGGTGAGGTCCCACTGTGAGTTGAAGAAATCCTCCTTGTCCTTGGTAAAGACAGGTACATCATACTCTTGGGCCACAGGAGGGTCTGGCCGCTGTTCAATCACCTTCAAGTGGATGGTGTTGGATTCATCTGCAGGGGACCCCACCCATATTCTCAGTGCCATCTCTCCTGAGAGGCCCTCAATTACCATCCAGCCTTTCCAGTATCCCTTGAGGCAGGCAGGTGGCTCTTGGGAGGGTCATTCTTCCCCTTTTATGGAGTGAGAAACTGAGGTCCAAAGGGGAAGGAATATACACAAGGAGCAGAGCTGGATAGCTCTGCTGGCTGCCCCCCATGCCCAGCCCCATCATGTACTGTACCCAGGACATCACCTCAGCCTCTGGCTATTTCCTGGCCACCAGTTTATTCAAAAGTCTTGTCCTTTTCCCCCCAAAGGCTGTGCTCACCTTCTGTCACTTTCCCATACCTCCCCTTCTGTTGTTCTTGCAGAGGCTGGGTCATACCAATGGGTAGAGTGCACCGGCCAGAAGCATTCAGCTCCTCCAGTAAGATGGTCATTATGGGCACCAACTTCTGCTTGCTCTCCTCTGTGGACACGAAACTGCTCTCTAGCTGGACAGAGCATAGACAGCATAGTGGGTATACCCCAGGGCACCTGACTAACTAGATGCCCTGCCTGGGTCCTGAGCTAGCTGTCAGGATCAAGAAGACTTTGGAGACATAGGAACACTTTTCCCAACTTTGCCTGCCCATACACCCAAGCCTATCATGTTGCAGACCTCCAATGTGGTCAGGTAGCCAGCCAGCTTTTTAACAATGGGCTCCAGGGCACAGGTCTTGGCCTGGGCATCACACACGAACCCCAGGTTGAAGAGGAGAGCATTGCGGCTATACTTCTTGTGCTCAATGCACACAGGGCAGCCGATCAGCTTCTTTTCCATGGCTGTGCTGGATGAATTGGACAGAGTTAGGCCTCCCCAAGTCTGTTCCCTCCACTTGGGACCCGTTCATCCCACACCCAGCCAGGGCCTCACACAGTGATGAGCTTGTTTTGTAGCTCTGGCTTGGTGATGATGTACACTTGGACGGTGTCAAACAGCTCCCTGGAGATGAAGTCTTCAGGGACCTGGGGAAGGAAGTGGCAAGAAGCCCCTGACTAGACATTGGGACTGGGTGGAGTGCACAGGGTGCATTCATAGGTGCATCACCCATTACCACCTTCAGGTATAAGTACTTTTCTCTAGCATTTTCCTCTCTCTCATTCACCCAGGCCTAACACTCCTTGGTGTTTTCAAACACATACTGTGTTCTCACAGGCTTCTTGGCTTTTGCATTTGTTGCTCCCTATACTTGGAACACTTTCCTCCATCATCTAATTTGCTATGCATCATTTAAGTTCCAATCCAGGAATTCTCTCAGACCACTCACCCCCACCTTCCATGGGACCTGACACCTCCCCTGAACCTTACAATTGGATTTCCCCAAAGCACGGCTCATGTGACATAGTATGTTTCCTTCATCACAACAGGAGCCGGGGGACCTGGGTCTGTTATCCTTTCTATTCATGGTTATCCGGGAATGGATAGAGATACCCGCGTGCAGCAAGGGGATTCAGTGCTATGTCAGTCAGCTGAGCTCCCGAGAGTGTCCCTCTCCCCGCCTAGTATCGCGAGCCCGGGCAGCACCTGATAGGTGATCTTTGGTCCCAGCGTGGGGTGGAACTCGCTGAAGAATATGCATTCGATGCGGCAGCTGCTGCCCATGGCGCTAGCGAGTCCTGGGTCCGTAGCTCCTTGTCGTTCGCGCGGAGACACCCCTATTCTTGGGAACACTGGTCAGAAAACAGCACTGAGGCCTGGGCCACTGTGTCATGCAGTCGTGCGCGCGCGCGCGCGCGCGCACACACACACACACACACACACACACACACACACACACACTCGAGAGGCTGTCTGCTCAGTAGAGTCTGCGTAGCGAGATTCAGAGGCGGGGCTTGGGGGGGCTCTTCCCAGGAAGTCCCGGGTGGGTAGATGTCGCACCCGGAAGTGAAGCGGCTCCGCGACGGAGCGGCGGCGTGCGCGGTAGGGTCCTGGTTATCCAGCATTTTTTTGGAGGAAACCACCACGTCTGATCGGCGCTGCAAGTGAGGTAGGCAGATTCCTAGCATGAAGGGACAGCGTGCTAGCGGCACTTGGTGGGGAGCACTGCACGAAGGGATTCAGGCTGTAAGTGGGACACATCTGGGAACTACAATTCCCGCAGTGCTTCACGCGCTCCCACCTGGCGTTCCCACCAGCGACAGGGTGATGCATGCTGGAATTTGTAGTCTTATGTGGCCTTGCGTATCCTACCTGAAAAGTGGGCTAGAGATCAATACCAATTTAGATGCAGGTAGATCCTGACGGGGCTGCCAGTCCTCTCCTGGCCAGTTGTGACTATTTCCGGTACTGGTCTTGGTCTGTTTTTTCCTACCATAACTTCTTGGAAGAGGGTGGCATTCTTGCCCTGCAACTCTTCTTCCAGCGAGAGGTGTGGAACTGTCCTACTGGGGCACCCGACCCTTGCCAATGCTACTTTGTTTTCAGGCTACAGCTACCGGCCTAACTGACCATGGCCCTTTCTGTGGAGACCGAGTCGCACATCTACCGAGCTCTGCGCACTGCTTCTGGGGCTGCAGCCCACCTTGTGGCCCTGGGCTTTACCATCTTTGTGGCTGTGCTCGCCAGGCCTGGTTCCAGTAAGTAGAATTCATAGTTGACTTCTGGGAAAGGAAAGGCAACTTTTCCTGGGGGAGCAAGGGCAGTAGGAAGCCTTGGGCCTAACTCTTGGGAACAGGGCTGGCTGGCTGAGGAATATTTTGTGTAGAAGGGATGATACTCTGGATGAAACATGGGTGGGGGCTCTGACAACTTGGCCAAGCCCCATAGAGCCCATGGTTATCCTTTTCTTGTCTTGGTGCACCTCTTGGGAGGTGCTGGGGGAAGGAGAGAGAGGAGTGGCAAGCATGCATGGCCTGTGGTCTAGGAAGAGAGAACAGGTGTGGAATCAGCTTGCTGCAGCTAGCGGGGCGCGGCTCACATTTTGGCAGCACCTTCTTAGGTGATGGGCTGCCCTTATTCCTCAACCTGTAGGGATTGGTATTGCTGGTTTCTTCTTGCCTCAGCCCCATGAGGACTCCTCTTCTCATTCCAGGCCTGTTTTCCTGGCACCCTGTGCTTATGTCTCTGGCTGTAAGTAGTGGGTATGGGCAGCTCTCATGGGTGGGAGCATGGGTATGGGTGGTGACCCTGATAGCCTTTGACTCCTTGTGGACATTTAGTGTCTATTTGGAGGAGTTGCATGCTTCAACTCTTGTCCGGATATGTTCCTGACTTGAATCATAGTATTTGAGACCCAGTATAGCTGGGTGTGGTGGTGTATACCTGTAATCCTAGCTACTGGGGAGGCTGAGACAAGAGGATTGCAAGTTCAAGGCCAATCTTGGCAACTGAGACAAACCCTATCTCAAAACAAAAAAATAAATTAAAAGTGCTTGACATAGTTCTCCAGGGTTCAATCCCCAGTACCACATATACATCAAAAACAAACAAACAAAAAACCTAGGATAAATGGGAAGGTTTAAACACAAATGAGACTTCTCCCATCTCCAGGCAGGAAGCTGAGAAATTGCATTTGGATGACCCTTTTTACCTTAAGTTTGTGGTGATATGTGTCTTATTTTCCCTGAAACAGTGCACCCATGTGGTCAGCTCTTGCCAAGAAATTGTATCCATACATCCCCATGGGAGAGAAACAAAGGTTTTGAATCATTTATAAGTGCTACATCTCAGACCTTGTTTGCTAGGTAACAACAGAGATGACATTTCAGAATTGCATCTAGGAAGATGTGTGAAGAGGTATCTGTCACTGACTATTTAAGGAAGATGTTCTGCCCCACTAAATGGGTAGTTTTGCTGGGGAGAAAATTAAGAAGGGGAATCAGCTCAGGTGCACTGACAACTAAGAGGATCATCTAAAGCCCTCTTATTTTTTTTTTTGCTGGGACAGCACCCTCACTTGAGTTTCCTTCTCCGTCTCCTCAGTTCTCCTTCCTGATGACCGAGGCACTATTGGTGTTCTCTCCTGAGAGTTCGTTGCTGCGCTCCCTGTCACGGAAGGGCCGGGCACGCTGCCACTGGGTGCTGCAGCTGCTGGCTCTACTGTGTGCACTGCTGGGCCTTGGTCTTGTCATCCTCCACAAAGAGCAGCTTGGCAAAGCCCACTTGGCTACACGGCACGGACAGGCAGGACTGCTAGCCGTGCTATGGGCAGGGCTGCAGTGCTCAGGTGGGGTGGGGCTGCTTTACCCCAAGCTGCTGCCCCGATGGCCCCTGGCAAAGCTCAAGCTATACCATGCCACTTCTGGGCTGGTGGGCTACCTGCTGGGTAGTACCAGCCTCTTGTTGGGCATGTGCTCACTCTGGTTCACTGCCACTGTCACTGGTGGAGCCTGGTACCTGGCTGTGCTATGCCCTGTCCTTACCAGCTTGGTCATTATGAATCAGGTGAGCAATGCCTACCTATATCGCAAGAGGATCCAACCATGAACTCTTCCTAGCCAAGGGAAGCCTGGATTTGCCTCTCAGCATTCTGGGGCTGGGGACCTCCTGAACTCTTTTAGCTGATTGGGTCAGGGGATACTTCAGGCACTGGAGCAGTAGGAGACCCATATGTGACATTTTTGCTCTTCGTGCTAGAGTGCCTCCTCTGTCCTTCTCCTTTTGCTGCATCCCAGAGGAGCATATGGATCACGTGTCTGGATGAAGCTGGGATTTCAAGACTGCCTGCACAACAATGCAGCTTATAATTGTACTGGTTTAATTATTGGAGAGAAAAAAGTGAAATAAAAATGACTGAAAAGACTGATGGGAGGAGCAGCTTAGAGTTGGAGGTGGTTCTAACTAATGCTGTCAGCATTAAGAAGTAGGCAGCTTAGCAAGGTGGGGCCCTCTCTGAATGGTAGTTCTCCTAGCACACAAGTCCCTAGGATATGGCTGTTGAGCCTCCCATGTTGTGAATGGTACAGTTACGTATCCTACCCATCTCCCAGCTTCTGACTCCTGGAACATCCACACTATGGGGGCTAGATACAGACTGACAGGATGGGAGCTGGGAATGGGCTATCTCCATAGGTGTCAAGAGCAGAATACTCTGTCTTTGTGGTGAGTCATGGGCAAGAACAACTCATGATGGAGAGAACCTCAACTGTCAGATCCTCTGGGTAGGGGCAGAGGGCCTCCTAAATGGGGACTAGAGAGAGGAAAAAGAATAAGGCTCTGAGGCAATGGCTCTGGGAAGGCCACTTGGCAGTAGGCATATAGTGGTGGAAGGAAGGTATACTGGGGCAGTGGGCTTTTTATCCAGCTGGAGTTGCCATGGAGAGCCCTTGGATCCAGAGTAAAGACTATCTAAGTTGAGCATGTGAGACTGTACAAGGTAGCTTGACAAAGTGTAGGAGTCATACCTCAAAGAACTGCTTTATTGATACTGTGAGGCTGGGCTTGGTTGCCCACTCAAGTGGTCCTGTAGAAAATACCTGGGAGCTGTGGCTGTTCTGGCCCAGAAGCAGTCACGGCCACAGCAGAGGGAAACAAGAAATCCTGACATGAACACAGTCTTCCTGGGGGTGGGCAGGGATGTACAGCCTTGTGTTGGCTCCTGCACTGGCTGGGCCCCCAGAACATTTTTGGCAAATGCAAATCCTTGCCTTGACAGGGCTCAGGGCTCTTGGCAACCAGTTTCAGATGTGAGGGCCAGCCCAGGAGCTGTGGCACCAGCGTTCCTGTAGTCATTTGGGGCTGAGGTATAGTCTCACCTCAGATGGAGTTCTGGATTGGCCGATGCCTCAGAGGTCCCATGCCCAGGATAGTGGTTATCTGGAGTCAGAACCAGGTAGCAAGGGTCCTGGGTAGTGTTGGTGAGAGACAGCAAGTGGCCATGGAAGGCTCCAGCAGGCCTTCTTCCCTCTTAGAGCAGTCAGTGCCCTGGGGTAGCTGAGAGGCATCATTGAGGGCTTGGGAGAGGAGGGGCTACACTCAAGGTGGTCTGGAGTTACAGTTTGGGGGGAGCTGCCTCGAAGGTGATAAGGCTGGATTCAGGAGTAGCCCCCTTTCCTGGGGATGTGGGAGCCTTTTCTGAGAGCAGGGGGCTGTCCACTTTGGCCCCAGATTCTTCTTCATCATCATCCATGCTGGGCCAGGTGGACTGGTCCTCCACTCTCTTCAGCCGCTCATTGAGGGCCTTCAGAGCCAGTTGCCTGGGGCCAGAGGAGAGAGGACAGGTCACTCTGGGTTTCTCTTGGCACATATCCTGCACCCTTCCTCTGTAATCTGCCCTCTCTCCCTACCACATAGATTCCTCCCCCAGAATCCATTCTCTATGCAGCACCCAGAACTCCCCTGAGACTGAATTTCAGCCCATGCTGCCATCAGAATGAGGACCGGAAGGCTCTGGAGTCTTTCCTTCTAGCTCTAGGGCGCCTCCAGGATGAGAAGGCCAGTTGGATGTCTGCCAGACTGACCACCAGGCTATCCATGGCCAGCCACCAGGAATAGTTCTGAATTTGATGCATGAGAGTGGGCAGATCTAACGATCCAGGGCAGATGGGTGGAATGGCAAGTCCCTGGAGATGGGTACCTGCTTGGGCACTTACACACATCCAAGGACAGGTTCATTAATTCTCCCTTTCCTGGATAGGGGTATCTGAAGCCTCCTGGCAAGGGTCTCTGGGAAAGACTGGAATTCAGTACCTCCCTTAGCTCAGCCCAGGAAGCAGAGTCAACTTGGATCAATACACCCCTCTTAACTCTGATGTTTTCATTTCTAGAGAATCCCCCAAACCACTAAGACCTGTGTTAGAATAGGCTTTTAGCAGAGTCCTTGCAAGAGGTGAAGAAGAGAAAAGCCCATGTGGGTAGGGCACAGGCCAGAGCCTGTTTTCATGGGGCAGATCCTTGGAGGCACCACTTTGGGGGAGATGGGAAAGTCTACTAGAAGGTATTCACATGAGCCCTAGGCCACCAGAGGGTAGAGTAACAATGCTGCCAGGCAACACATCCAACAATGGCCACTGCCCACTCCTGATGCTTCAGCTTCTCTGTGCCACCAATGTGGGGACAGTCTGTGTAACCTATCAAGTTCCTGCAGAGAACCAAAACCTGCACCATGCCAAGGATAAGGAGAAGCAACAAGGACACGAGCACAGAAAACCCAGTATACTTCCCCCCCTGCCCTCCAACCTGGCACATGGCAAATTTGCATTGATGGGACAGTTCTTCAATGATACTGCCAAGGCTCCCTTCTCAGAGATGGCCTTGTCAGTTCTGTCTAAAGTCGGCCAAGGCCCAGAGATAGTGTCATGCTAGTCACTTCTTCACAAGGGTCAAAGATGTCTCTTTGATGGGGGCTGGGGTTGTAGCTCAGGCAAGCATTTGCATGTGTGAGGCACTGGGTTCGATTCTCAGCACTGCATATAAATAAGTAAATAAATAGGTCCATCAACAACTAAAAAGGAAAAAAAAAAAAAAAAAGATGGGAAACCCTGCCTTCTACCTAGTAGCCCTTTGGGTCTGAGTGTGGCTTGCAGTCAGATAACAAACTGGTTGGAAGAATAACCCCCACCTATACTACTTAAGGCTATACCAAGAACTTACCTCTTGCCCTATCTTCACCCACTCTCTGGTCCATTTCCTTGGGCAGATTTTTTTTTTTTTTTCTTGAGACAGGGTCTCACTAAGTTGCTAAGGCTGGCCTTGAACTTGTGATCTTCCTGCCTCAGCCTCCTGAGTCATTGGGATTACAGGTATGTATCACCACACCTGGCTTGGGCAGGTTTTCTGAACATCCAGCCAACCCTAACCATCTAAGACCTCTCACTGAAGGAGAGGTCCCACCTGAATAGCTGAGGGTAGCTTAGTTCCTCCCAGGTCCAGCCCACCTGGCCTTGTCTCCTTCACTGGATAAGGTCAAGACACACCTCTAACTTATCACCCATAGACTAGACTGTAGGGCCTTGAATGAGGCCCTCACAGCATGCTGTAAGTGTTTTCCCACAAATATCAGCTTGGACCACCAGCTGGAAACTCCTTCAAGGAAGGGGTGTGTTTTACACTCAAGTGTACTGCCCCAGTGGACAGTAAGCTCAAGGATAAATAACTCTTCCACTGAATTCACAGAGCTTCCTGCCAGGAATCTATTTCATAGATGAGCAAAAGCAGGAACCTTTGACAAAAGCAAAAGGATAGCCCTGTTATCCGATTACCTTAAAAAAAAAAAAAACCCCAAGAATAATGTTGTAAATGGAGCTGGGGATCTTATAGAAGCTGGGACCACTCTGGGGAGCCCACAGATCCAGGAGAGTTAAGAGCTGAATTAAAAACAGTCTCTCTTGTCCTGGCCAAAGTGCAGCCAGTGAATAATTCAGCCAGGATGCCTAATGCGGCAGATGGCTTAGTTTACAGATAATTCAAAGGTCTCCACTATCTGGTGTGGTACACAGGCCTCTAAGGTGGGTCATATAGCGAGTCCCCTGGGTTTGGTGACACCTCCCTGCTTGGAAGTTAAATTTGGTAAGACCCTAAGCTTCCCTCAGTAAGTGGCAGAGAAGCATGTATCTGAATTAAGACTCATGAAGAGGACATGGTTCAGTATTTGGAAATTGGGGTAACCAGACTATTTCTTAAGGGCCCCAGGCCTTCTTCCCTGGTCCCCCCCCCCCCCAGGGGAAAAAAGACTAACAGGTTGTCTCCGGCTCCCAAGTACAAGTGTCTAGGATTTAGAGACTCTGCAAGGCCAGGGTGATGCATACCTCCATTAGCCCCTCACACAGAACCAAAAGAAATGGTATTTCTTGAGACTGAAATGGCCCTAGTGGTAAGAAAAAGCACACACCGGAGCCCAGACATCTACATGCTGAATTCTCAAGGCCAGGCTGGGTTTCCTCTCTGAACCTGCCCCAACACCTGACTGTGGGTCTCTTATGCACAGCAAGCACCTCAACAGGTGGCATGTGACTTTGACCAGTACTCTCTTAGCTTGCCAAGATTTTGGAAGGTTTCACGGTACCTTCTCCGCTCTGCATCTTGAGGGTCTGTGCCTGGGAGGCTGATGGTGATGGAGGATGGGGCTCCCACATCATAGCGTTTCACTGTCTTCTGGCATATCTTTACTTTCACCAGGAGACCATGCACCAAGTTCGCCAGCAGCCCCACCACAGGCTGCAGGATCTCAGGGAAGAAGGTGGCAAAAGCAAAGTGGTCAGCCATGTCCCCTCGGCCTCGGCTGTGGCGCTGGTAGAAGCGAAGATACACCCAACTGGAGAGGAGTCCAAAGCCATAGGAAGCCAGCGCTGGGCTCTGGAGCAGTGTGGCCAGCCGCAGCAGTAGCAGCAGTGCCAGCAGCAGCATTGGCACTACGCTGACGCGCACCTGGGGCACTCGCAGGACCACACAGTCCCCCATAGTTTGCTTGAGTGCCACCAAGACACCACCTAGGAAGCCCAGAGCGCCGTGGATACGGATTGTGAACAGGTAGACCAAGTTGAAGGAAGCCATATAGGTGAGGAGGTAGGCGAAGGCCCCCAGTAGCCCCACAGACACATTCACCACCGAGAAGAAGATGAGCAGCTCCAAGGCTCCCCAGAGGGGTTCCAGCAAACGCCCAGCCACCACCACTGTGGCCAGGCTGATGGCCACATCCCACACGTGCTGCTCCATGAGCCCATGGGTGGCCAGAGTCCAAATCCAGAAGTTGGGAGGAAAGAGGTAGCCTGGGGTGACCGCCAGGCAGCCCGTGTCTACTGCGAAGGAAAGCAGGTAGATGAAAAGTACCGCTGCGCACAGGGCCTTTACCACCACGCTGGCGCTGGC